AGAGACAGTGAGGGGGGAAATGAGAAATCACCCCCAGGGGGATGGCCACACTGCAATCCCTTCTTCTCCACTCTCTTCCTGGGATGTTGGGCATGCACACACATGCTCCCAGTGTGATTTTCAAGTCCCCCCAGTCCCAGGACTTAAACTGTAGTCAGCCATGTAGTCTAGCACTTCAACTACCACACCACCTGCTGCTCCCTGAGAAGTATTTCTTTATCCCACTTGGTTATGGTGTTTAGTTTTAGGAATTACTGAACTCATCCATACTCACTGGAAGTCGGAAACACATTATTTCCATTCCTCATTGAAAGATGGAAGACATTTTAAATTATCATTACTCTTAGCTGTCACCACACACCGTCATCACCATGGATGGGTGGACAAAGGGAGGCTGTATAAACAGAGGAGCGACCGTAAGTAAGGTAAGGCTAGATCTGGAACTCTCCCTGTAGAGTACATTTCTAAGATGCAGCTCTTCTCTTCCCTCTAATCATTAAAATCATGGCTAGGGCTAAAGATCCACTAATTTTTTAATTGAGTGAAAACACCAGCTTGTTTCCATATTGTGGATGGAGACAAAGTATTCTTCAGGAGTTCTTGGTCCTTAGACAGGTAAAGGGAGCGCTGAGCTGAGTACATGACAGGGTCCTTTCTCTGCTGGAATTCAATTAGAAAAAGGACAATCCAGCAATCAATCAGGAAACAAAAAAGAAATGTTAATTTCTAATTTATGCCCCCCAGCCCCAAGTTTAAGCTATGAAATTAATTAGCCACACTAATATTTTTATAAGCCCCTTCCCCTCTCCTGCCCACTTTAACCAACTTTTCTAGCATACCAAAGATGTTCCAGAATTATACTGACTACTAACACCTATGTTAGGGTAATTCAAATTAAATACTTAAAAATTCTGTTTTTCAGTCTCACTAGCCACCTTTCAAGTACTCAGCAGCCACATGTGGTTAGTGTCCACCAGACTGGACGGCACGGAGCACTGTGATTCTGTGCATGGAAATCCAGGCATTTTCCAGAAGGTAGAGACAGGAACATGCATGCATCGGTAAACCTTGTTCTGTGCACACTCACGTTTATTAAACGTAGTGGCAGCTAAGTAGTTTAAATAAACTGTCAGGGGCTTCTGAAGGAGGTACCACCGGCTGAACCTGTCCTGAAAAGGAGGTGTTGGCAGGAAGTAGATACGACTGCTTGGTGGTGGTGGGGGGATGGCTGTGCTGCTGAGACTTGTCACATTTACGTTTGGTCATTTTCCTCTTTGCTCTCAAAGTCATTCTATAGCCTTTCCCTGGAAACCTTGCCCAGCAGAAGGCACCGAGGGAGATCAGAGAACAGTGGTAGGAGATGCGGGAACATCCCATCTGCCCTACAGCCAGCACTTCCTGTCCTCTCTGTGCCTCCTCCATCTCCCAGGCTCCTGCCAGCCAGGCCCCCTCTCGTGAGCCCAGGTCCCACTAGGTTCTAGCACCGTTCCCTCCTTTCGTCCCTCGTGGCCAGTGGGGGTGCTAAATTTTTAACAACCGGCTCTCTTTGCGGAGGGAGAGGCAGGAGGTAAAACTCGGATTTTAACTGTTGCCGGTGTCCGTGGTGTAGGTAAATACACCCTGAAGCGTTAAGGACGGGCTTTCCTTATAAGCGGCTTCTTGTCTGTGACTGCTCAGCCCTACGGAAAGTAGCCACTTCCTGTGGTTAGCATCTGTGTCCCCTCATAGTTCCCATTTAGTTTGACATGTTTTCAGCTTTTTTGTTGCTAGTTATCTAAATTAAATTCTTTTTATTAGCTACCTAGGATGGACTCTGTTTTCCTGATTGGATCTTCAATGTGAAAAAAGAAGCTCTCTCCTGAAGAATGTAAGTCAGCCATATGGCCAAGCATGCTGGGGCACAGGAAGGCTTTCTCGTGGGGAAGCAGCACATCGGCCTGTGCTGTGATGTGAGTTCCATCTCACTGTGCCCTCGTCTAACCATTCTTCAGGTAGCACTGTAACAGGATACTTTGGAAAAGCAGTTGGCAATGTGTGTCCAAGACCTACTCCACTTTGACAGAATCTCTCCTAGAACTCTACAGAAAGAAAAAGAAAGAGAAAAACCTATGCACGAAGGTGTTCATTGCAATATTTCTTAGAGTATTTTCAGAAGCAATTTCAATGCAAAAAAATAGGAAATTACTAAGTAAATTTATATGATGGAGTATTATGCAGTCTTAAAAATTACAGTTTTCAATATTGTAGCAATATGGGAAAAAGGCAATAAAATCAGGAAAGAAAATTTCTAACACATGATAAGAAACAAGAATATGTATGCTAGAAGGAAAAAAACCTGAAAGAAATACATATACATAATGTTTTACTTATGTAAAGTGGGTATTAGAAGACAAATTTCTTTCTTATTTTCAAAGAAGTGACTTTTTTTAATGTAAGCATTTTATTTAGTTTCATTTGATAAAAAAAAAATCCACCAACAAAGTCAATGAGACTACTTAGAATGAAAAAACATATTACTCACTATGACATCTGTGGATAATGTTTTATGTTTACAACACAAACCTCGAATATGCCTAACGTTAAGATGTCCAGTGTCTGTCACTCACCCCGTGCATGATGCCTCCACACCTGAATTCCATCTTCCTACCGACAGTTATTAAATTTCCTTCTCAGAGAAGTGACTGATACCACATACATAACTACAAATTAACACGATGCCTCTTATGTCTTTTTTTAGGTTTTTGCTGTAGGCCACGTGTGCTCACCAGAGAGACAGATGGGAACAGTGAGAGGGAAAGTGAGAAATCACCCCCGGGGGACAGCCATGCTATAATCCCTTCTCCCAGGAATTTTGGCTCACACGCAGTGCGCCTGGCATGATTTCCAAACCACCAGGTCCAGGACTCAAACTGTGGCTGGTCATGTGGGAGTCTAGCGCCTTGGCCACCATGCCACCTGCTGTGCCTGAACTTCTTGGGTCTTTTAACCCTTCTTTCTACGTGGAAGACTTTAACCTAGAGAAACGCCTTCCAGCTATTTACACACAACTTGTCAGAGAAATACTGAAGGCTTGAAGAGTCGGCCCCAAGGAATCCGAGCAGGTATCTGTCTGCGTTCTCTCCACGCGGCATGGCTCCCTTGCCTGAATTCCGCCGAGATTCAGCTCCCTTAGAAAGGCTATCGACCGCTTCCTTGGGTTCACATTTTGCTCACCCTATCCCCCAATTCACCTCAATTTAACCAATTCAAATTTTACCGATCTGTTTTGGCTTGTAAATAAACAGCATCGAGCTGCAGGTCTCAGCTGATGTGCAGCCACAAGCCCATGCTGACTGTGGGCTACCTCACATGCGAACAGCACTATGGAGCTCAGGTTCTGGGGCCTGACTGCCTGGGTTTAAAGATTAAATCCACCATTTACAAGCTGGATGAGTTTGAGCAAATCTATCATCTCCCTCTGAGCTTTGTTATCTGTAACCTGGGGATAGGATCTCAGGCTTGCAGTGAGGGCCCAGTTATTCCACATAAAGCACTTTGAATATCACCTGGGACTTGATAAGCACCCAATAATGTTCAGCCTAAAAATTAGAGTGTGTGTGATGTGGACATGGTAGGGGAGCCCTCCCTGCCTGTCCTAGAAAGACCTGTGAGTCAGGGACACATCTGGCCAAGCAGAGCACAGTAGATACAAAGAATCCCACCACGTGCCTGAACGTCATCCCCACCACGGGATCCATGATGAGTTAGAATCTAACACACATGAAAATCAGTAAACTCTTCCCAAAATAAACTTGAAAAAAATACCAAGTCATCTCCCAAGAATCTGAGAGCCCACTGCTCCTTAGAGAACAATTTGTGGCAATGCTGCTCCACTCATACAACTTCCTAGTAAGCTCCCATCCACAGCACAGCAAACAGTGTGTGTGCAGGAGCCTTCCGAGTAGACTTGGGGGCTGCCTGAATGTGGCTTGATACCTTCCAAAGCTGGCTGAACCGTGTGTGGGCACCAGGAGCCTGTCTGCCTTCGCTCCTTCTCCCACTTTGCCACCCGATGTCTTTACTGCGGAATCTGCTCAGGCAGGGTCCCTCTTCCCGTTTCCAACCAACTCAGATGGAGGCATCTCATCCAGCTCAGCCCCTTCCAACCATGGGCTTGGAATGAGCCTCTCCTTCAGCCTTGAGGACTGGTTTATATGACCTCTCTGTGACCACTGCTGGGTTCTCACGTGGCTTTCTCGGTCTCCTGGTGACAGAGTCACGGCACTCCCTAGAACTGTGTTTCTCCAGCCTCAAGACTGTTGGCCAAGTGTCTGCTGCGCTCACTCTAACCTGTTCTGGCTTGGTCAGAGGACTGGCCTCCAGCCTTGGTCTCCACGCCCAGTTCTGGCCAGTCAATGGTACAGGAGGTACCCCAGCCCAGTGCCCAACATATGCACTTGTCCCTAAAATTCGGACTAGTGGCCAAGGGACCCATGGGCCCGACTTGCTCACGGCTCCCTCCTGTTTCCTCTTGGTTCCCTCTCTCAACCCTGGACCTGAGGCAAGGACTTCATCCACTTAGCCCATTCCATAGAACTTCTGTCTCTCCCAACAACCCCAAACTTGCTGTCTCAGAGCTACTGTTCTCAGAAATCGAGGTCTAATATGAACCTGCCTTGGCCACACGACTTCATTTCTGGAACCGACTTTCAGAGCAGTAGCTTTCTCACTCCAGCCCAGTCTGGGGTCTGGATTCACGTCCCTATCCTTTGCCAACTGGCAAAGCATAAACAGTGTAATGTAAATATTTATCAGTAATCAACAAAAATACCCTAAACGTTTTAGTCCTCTGGATTACGAGTGGAAGTAAAAATATGTATAGCATCAAAACAGCCATATCAAAACATTCATTTCTATAATTTTCCATCTCATCAAAATAAACCATCTGAAGACAGGAAATGCCGGACATTTCTGAACCAGTCATCCAGCACGCTCCCGTCCACGCCCCTGGACTTGCCTACCTCGAACCACTGCCCGTGGGACTGCATCTTGAGGATGACACAGGGGTCTGGTTTGGAAAGGGCGTCTCTGTCAGATATGCCTTTGCACGCCACGCGCAGCTCGACTTTGGTCAGGCAGGGGCTGTTGAAGATGCCCAGGGTGTTGGCGGCCGACTCATAGATGTTGCTCATTTTCTTCATTCTGTTTTAGGGAAGGAAAGATGAAAAGCTATATACCAATCGCTGCAATGCTTGTCAAACGAGAGTCCCAGTCACCTTCAAGAAATTGCTCAACACACAATTTTTAATATTGAAGGCGTTTATTATCTTGCTTTTCGATTCATTGGCACAATTCCAGCAAGATAAATTTAAAAACAAACAAACAAAAAGCAGGTGCTAGGCACTTGGCTAAGAACACTGTTTCCCTGTTTGGTTTGCATACATTTGCATAGTAAAATTTTTAGTCTGTGAAGGAAAATTAATGAATTAGTGCAGTAGACTGCAAACAGTAATCCAGCTCTATATTAAGCACAAGGCTGGTGTGAAATTTTACAGATGTGTCGGTTAATCAGTTTAATCACGTCTCAAGTTTTTAAGATTCTAAAAACCCAGGTCTCCCTCATGTGATGGAGAACTGCCCTACGTGTAGAACAGCGCACTCCTGCCCCGACGGCTGGCCCACCCCAAGCGCCATCATCGGGATGGCGCCAGGAGAGCCAGCACCTCGCTTCCCTCTCCACTCCTTCCTGCCTCACCAGAACGCAGAGTCAGAAGGGACAGGAGGGGAGGGAAGGCACAGAGACTCTGGTCCTGAACACCTGGAACAGTGGCCACAGACGGGAGCTGCAGGGCCCTGCCGCCTCCTCCTCCTGCCCTGCCCAGAGCTGTTCCTGTTCGCAGCAGAGGTCCAGGGCCCAGGAACGCCCGAGGCCGCCAGCTGTCGCCTTCTCTGAGCAGCTCCCGAGACACTGGGACAGCCTCTCAGGGGGGAAATGTCACACCCTTCTCATGAGACCTGCCCCGGGTTTCCTGAGGAAAACACAGTCGTGTCCTTCCCTCACTGAGGGTGACCCTTCTCTCCTTCCTGCCTCTACAGATATTCAAGTGAGTGTTAGGGAGTCATCGCACTGCCTTTTATAAGGGGCTGGCTGTGCCCGAGTGTCTCTCACACACACACACACACACACACACACTACAGACTCACATTACACACACACACAACACACAATCCACGTACACTATATGTACACAATACACACACGCACACACAATACAGACTCACATTACACACACACAACACACAATCCACACACAAATACACACACACGACACACATACTATATATACACAATACACACACACAGTACACACAATGCACACACACATACAATACAGACTCACATACACACACACACTTAACACACAATCCACAAATACGCACACACACACACACACACACACACCAATAAAACCTCATTGGAACCGGAGTTCCCATATCCACTTGGTGTCTCCTTGGCCGCTGTCACCCCCACGGCAGTAACGCAGACGCAGCAGACTGCCCGGCCCCCGAGGTCGCAGTACTTGCTGTGCTGCTCTTCAGAAAGTGTTGGCCGACCTCGGTTCTGAGCTGTCAGGTAAGGGCAATCTGTGCTTAGGGAGGAGCTGGGATTCCGTTGGAGTGCAGAACGAAACCAGTTTGAGGATGAGAGCTGCTCTCTTCTACTAAACTAAATATGAATAAGGACTTTGGGACTTTGTTTCTTTATATGTAAGAGAAAACTCGCACTCTGAGAAGACCAGCGGCTCGCCCGTGTCACACAACTCATTCTGATGGCAGAGTCAGGGCCAGGATGCCGCTCTCCACCTCCGGGCCCAGAGCTATTTCCACCACGTGAAACCTTTCGCTGGAGAACTGTTCAAATCTACCAAGGAACAGCGGACACCACAAATTCCCTTGGGTTATTTCAACTCCGTACAGAGCCATACTTCCCTTCTTTTTTCAATTTCACTCAACCATGCAAAGTGTAAATCCATAGCCTAATAAATTATTCATTTTTATATTTTATAATTTAGAAAAAATTTATTTGTAACTGAGAGTGTATGCACAAGTGCATGTATCTGAGAGAAAAAAGATAGAGAAGCACTCTCAACACAGTCTCATCACACCACAAACCCCTCCGTCCAGCCCCAGCTGGACACACACGTGCACCCAGCATGCTTCAGGCCATCCGAGCCAGGAGTCTGAACCGACAGTCACTCGCGTGGCTTCCAATGCGGCAGTTCAATACACTGTAGACTGTGCCACTTAAGCTGGGCCCTTCTGATTTGTATTGGCTGCGAGCTGATCAATAATTAGAGTAACACCAGAGACGGCACCATGGAATGAAAATCACAACAAAGCAGGGGAGGAAGGGACCAGCTAGGGATGGCGGTTTCACATTTCAGGTTTGAAAGTGCAATAGGAACTCTGTTGAACACCTCTCTGATAATGACAGCCTCCCCTTCAATCAACGTCTTCCTGAATCCTGCTTTTCGCAATGCGTTGACCGGCTCCTGGGAATCCAGCTTGCTCTTCTGCAGTTTGAACTGGCCTCTCCTATCCGGAGGAGCTATCTGTGTCTCTTCTAACTGTCCCTCTTCTGGGAGACTCACGCCATTCCCTTCCACACCCACAGACTCTCTTCTGTAACAGACTTCTGCAAAGTGAGACCTCTTCCCTAACGTGCCTCAACTGTGAAGCATACTCCACAGAAGACATCAAGGAGACACAGCTTTATAGTCAGATCCCGGCTCCTCCGCTTGCTAACCAAGTGCCCTTGGGCAGGGTACACAGGTACTTTGTGATGGTAATACCTACCTTGAAGAGTTGCTGTATTAGCAGATGAAATAACGTATTAGGACAATACCAGGAATTTAGCTCATGCCCAAAAGTGGTAGCTATCACTGTACTCTCACTTTTCTCAAGATATACTCATTCTTTATTTTTCTTTTTGGAGAGATTCATGCCATAGGGTGCGTGCGCTCGCCAGACAGACAGAGAGACAGAGAGACGGAAAGAGAAATCACCCCCCAGGGGGGATGGCCACCTCAATCCCTTCTCCTCCATTCTCCTCTTGGGATCTTGGGCACGCACGCACATGTGCCCGGCGTGAGTTTCAAGCCACCGGGTCCGGGACTCAAACCGTGGTCAACTACATGGGAGTCCAGCGACATAGCCATTACTATACTAACTGCTGGTCCCCAAGATATACTCATTCTTCCTCCCACTGCCAACTAGAAATCTCTTAGTTAGAGATTAGAAATGTCATTATTACTTTAAGACCAATATTTAACTAGTCCCTTTAAATACCTTCTATCTTTGAAACCCACATAATTTGGGCATACCACCTACACCTAAGAACACAACCTCCCGAATTAATAGTTTATGTGTAGACTCACACACGAGTCAGTAACTCTCACAGATCCAAAAGTCAGAGACAAAATGATGGTGCCAGCTCTGCTAACGCCATGAAGCTGCTTTGCCAACTTCCTAGTGGAGGCAATTTATTCTGCAAACGTAGCTCCTCCGTAGGACTCTGATACGCTGTAGTGGCCCTCTTTGGGTCCACGTATGACAGCAGGTCACATGTCACGTGCAGTCACAAAATATCTGAGGGGAATTGCAGTAGCCCCACATGCGAAGGAGTCGACAGTCTCATGCCCCTTCATATCATTCATTACAACCATTTCTTTGTCACATGTGCCTGATGAAGAGAATTGCAGGTGATATCTACTTTTAATAGCCTTCTTCCTTAAATGGATTACTTCAAAGAAATCTCTGATGGAGTAGAACACAATAATGCAGACTAGCAAACACCATGGAACGGCAAAGGGACAAGTCTAGTCCCAGCAGGAAGTTTCCATAAGCCTCATTCTTGCTTGGAAATGATGGCAATCTAATCGCATGTGTCAACAGTTACCTGAAATAGCTGAAAACCATCATGGTTTCTGGGAGCACACACAATCACTGATGAGATCTTACACTCAGTGCGTACAGCATTTACTCTGAAATTTCAGCGAATGATAGTACACTTAAATAGCTTATAACATTAGTAAACAAATGACCTAGAGGCATGTGTTCAGAGCCTTTATTTTTTTCAATATGCTATGAGGAGCACGTACTTATATGCAAAGATCAAGAAAGACCAAGAGAAAAAGACAGAGAGAGAGAAAACACCCTCTCAGAGCGAGGGGGAGGGGTGGTGGTGGTGGTGGTGGTAGTGACCACGCCACAGTCCCTTCTCCTCTGTTCTCTCAGGATTTTGGGCATGCATGCACACATGCCCAGAATGTTTTTCTAGCTGCTGGGTCCAGGACTCAAACCACATAGTCAACCATGTGAGATCCAGCCGCCTTTATCATGCAACCTGGCTGGTCCTCAGGGACCTATTTTTTAATCAGTGGAATATTTCACCTAGAACAGAAGTCCTCAACCCCTGGGCCATGGACTGGCACCAGTCCCTAGCCTGTTAGGAACTGGACTGTGCAGTGGGAGTGAGTGGCAGTGGGCAAGTGAAGCTCCTCTGTGCTTACAGCTGCTCCTGCTGATCGCATTATCCCCTGAACCCCGCCTCCTGTCTGCTCAGTCCTGGCCTCAGATTCTCATAGGAATGTGAACCCTATTGTGAGCTGTGTGTGCAAGGGATCTAGATTGCACATTCCTTATAAGAATGTAATAGCTCGGGGCCAGCAGGTGGCATAGTGGTTAAAGTGCTGGACTCCCACATGGCTGACCACAGTTTGAGTCCCAGACATGGCAGCTTAAAACATGCCAGCACGTGTGCATGCATCTCCAAAATCCCGAGAGGAGAATGGAGAAGAGATTGTGGCATGTCTCTTCTCCCTCCCCTGGGGGGCGATTTCTTGCTTTCTGTCTCTCTGTCTTTCTCTGTCTCTCCAGCAAGCACACACACCCTATAGCAAAAATCTCTCTTAAAAATAATAAGAATGTAATGCCCGATTATCTAAGGTGGAACGAAGGCAGTGATGCTACTATGGGGAGTGGCTGCAAATACTGCATGATGGTGAGGTGTGCAATCGTGTCATTGTATACTACTACGGGGAGTGGCTGCAAATACTGCATGATGGTGAGGTGTGCGATCGTGTTATTGTATACTACTACGGGGAGTGGATGCAAATACTGCATGATGGTGAGGTGTGCGA